TATTGTGAGGCTCCTCATAATGGGCATCCACTGCCCGCCTCGCAGCATTCGAACCTATGTGCTCACCAGTGATTGACTTTGTGTGGGAATTTTCGGAGTTCTAGTGAGAAGTCGTGACCAGTGGAGCTAATAAAACTTCTACAAAAATATCTAGATGTAACAGTTGACTGATATTTAGAATGTACCTCCTGAAAAAATTGTTTTCAATTAGTTCGTCATCTGTACAGTAGATACTCAAAGTCATGAGCTTGAATTTATCAACATCTCACTGACCGAGATCGGCTACCCCAGTGCGTTCATTAGGAAGTACATGCATGATATAATAAAGAAGTCGGAGATTTCGACTGTTCGTAAAAAAACTTTATACATGAAAGTGCAATTCAACGGGGATGTGGCTAGTGAAACTCTGAAATCTAGATTGACCAAAGTAATAACCAGGACATTAAACGCAGCCAATCTTGCGTTGACCTTCTCTTGTCGACCAGCGATGTCTACTCAAACGAAGGATAAGTTAACTCTGTTGGCCTCTTCCATGTGCATTTACAAATTCAGCTGCTCCTGTGGAGATAGCTATATAGGGCGTACTACCAGGCAACTTAACCAACGGATGAGTGAACATCTACCAACTTGATACATGAAGGGCAAGATAAAATCTATTCGCAGTTTTATCTAGGCACATCTCATTGATAGCGGTCATCCTGTAGATAAATCGAAATCATTTAGAGTTATCTATCGTATACCTCAATTATTTCCGAACGGAGTTCGTTCTCCCCCCCTTTCATATAGCTGAAGCCATTGTTCTATGTGCTGGCTCGACTTTTGTTGTTACCATGACATGGTGGTCGGGATTGCCTATCGTGATGAGGCAACCGAGCTATACTGTATGGGACAACCGTTCCTCAAGGTCGTACCATGTCCAACAGGTCGGTTGAAGAGCAGTAAGACTAAAAGCAACAAACCCAAGTTCCGAAGGCGAAGTCGTACTGCTGACTGTACAGAGGTGTGACAGCAGTAAGGTGTTTCCTTCAGATAATATTAGTCCCACAACACTATTTTGTAGACATACTAACCAGTTTCTACGCAGATAACGTGGAGTATGTTCTCAATGATTTGCTACCGAAAACGTTTTGAACTTAAGACTCAGTGTATACATATTTTTATTATCGGATTGGAGGTTTGTGGTGATTATAGTAATTTGATGGTTGAATTCATGAGTACATTTAACATAGGCCAACACGGAAATCTTGGAAGGATTGGATGGCCGTTTTGCTCTAGTATGGAATTCTTAAGCGGTGCGCATCCATATCTCGCACTTTGAACTCAAACACAGGAACTTCGATCTCGCTCTTGAAAACTTAACCTCTAGACTACTGAGCCGGAATCTAACGGTATTAATGTCTAACTTGGACCATTTGAGATATTGCGCGACCATACACCATTGTCTTTGAGTCGATAGTTCAACCAGTGGTCTGGAGTTTTGTTCTCTGTGCTGGATAGTTTGATCGTGGAGATTTCATCGTTCAAAAGAACGATAAAAATTCGCCTCAGAGAACACAACTCCACCATGATTATCCAGCTGAGCTACAAAGTCGAAATCTTCAAAACGAACGTCAAAACAGTGCTACTGTACAAAGCTGAAACATGGATAACTACCACAACTATCATCAACAACGTACAAGTATTCATAAATAAATAATGGATATCAACACCAACAGCGTTGTGCGCGAGAGAACAAATCAACTTCCAGCTGAGTAGGAAATTAGAGAAAGATAATTGAAATGGATAGAACATATATTACGCAAATCACCAAATTGCAGGACGAGGCAAGTCCTAGCGTGGAACCCTGAAGGGAAACAAAAATGAGGGAGACCGATGGACACAGTACATCGAGAATTGGAAGAAGACATGAAAAGGATTGTCTAGGATAGCGTTTGATGAAGAGTGCTGTTGGACATTCTATGCTCCTCCATAAGGAATAACAAGCATAAATAAATAGTGAGTTACAAATCTTCTCCATTCTCTTAAAAACCCTCAGTCGTAAAAGAATATTCACTCGAATTGGTTAACTGATTATATTTACCAATAAAATCTATTCGTTAATTTGACTGCCATTTTATACATAAACTATATCCAATTATAAATTGAGGAAAATAGATTTTAACTCTCTGACCAATCATTAAAACTATGCCAAAACAAATCAGACCTAAATTTTAGTTGTCCCTTAGATGATGAACACGCTTTGGTATGTACGTCCGTAAGGTATGTCAGTCCGTCACAGATCCACATATATATGTATCCATCTATCTATATATCTGTGGAAAATACAAGCATTAGTTTTTATTAGATGTACATATAGAGTCAACTATACAGCGCCTATTTATCAGATCTATATCTTTATATCTATATTTAGGCATGATGTTTATAAACAAACAGTGAACCCAGTAATATTAGGATACATGTCTCCCTATATATATATATATATATATATATATATATATATATATATATATATATATATATATATATATATATATATATATATAATGTTTTACTTCAAAATGGATTGATATAACACATTATAACTGATAAAATATCGACAATATACTCATTATTTTGTTGAGGGGGTGTGGTTGGTGAATGTAATTTTTTTAAAATGATTCCATCATCGAATTGGAAAAAAAAACAAATTGAGTATGATCCAACATTTTCATAAATGATCCGATTTGATTAGGATCATTCTATCTATTATAATGTTTTGGTGTATGATTATGTTAATGGATTTATCCAATGGTCATTTACTGATAAAAGAAGAAAAAAGTTTACGGAAATTAGTGAATTCGATTCATGCCACAACAACAAATGATTTCAATCTATGTACAATTCATCCACATTAGTTGCAATATTTATTATATACTACTTATAATACTACTAATACTACTACTACTATTATTCATGATAATGATATTCCATCAGCAGCAGCAGCAGGAGCGTCGTCAGCATCATCAGCAGAAGGATCAGGATCATCAACAATGATTAATTTAAATGAAACAATTTATCCAATATTTCATCATTTAATAACACAAATCTGTTTAACACAAAATTTCTTACAATATATATATACATCTATACAAATCATAAGGAATTTCAATCGTTAGCATGCCAACAACCACTAACACGACAACCACAACCCCAACAACAACAATCATGATACCAGGAAACAATTAGAAGACTATTTATTTCATTTATTACAATTAAATCAACCAATTGAATTTTATAATATGAAATTATTCAATAATTTCATCACTTTGAATGATGATTATGATGAAAATCTCAATTCATTTGATAATGGTTATTGTTTCAATGTGATATTTATGGCCTGTGTCAATAATCATACTACTAGTAATTATAATAGTCAATATCATACAGAATTCATATAATGGATTAAACTGCAAAATCGTGCATGGAGGACAGTTGGCAAAGTCGTTCGAAGTAAAGGCCGGTGTCAGGCAAGGTTGCTTACTTTCACCCTTTCTCTTTCTCCTGGTGATGGACTGGATCATGAAGACATCAACATCTGAAAGGAAGCACGGTATACAGTGGACATCTAGGATGCAGTTGGACGATCTGGACTTCGCAGATTATCTGGCCCTTCTAGCCCAAACGCAACAACAAATGCAGAAGAAGACGATTAGTGTAGCAGCAGCCTTAGCAGCAGTTATTCTCAATAAACACAAAGGGAAGAGAAAAATTCTCCGATACAACATAGCATGCATCAATCTAATCACAATTGATGGCAGATGCAATAACCTTTACATATTTGGGCAGTATCATTGATGAACGTGGTGGGTTTGATGCTGATGTTAAAGGGCGGATCGGTAAAGCAATATCAGCAAAATTACAACTGAAGAACCTCTGGAACTCAAAGCAACTGTCATCCAACACCAAGGTCAGGATTGTCAATACAAATGTCAAGACATTTCTGCTTTATGGGGCGAAAACCTCGAGAAATACGAAAGCCATCACCCAGAAAATACAGGTTTTTATTAACAGTTGTCCACGCAAAATACTTTGGATACTTTGACCAGACACTATGAGCAACAACCAACTGTGGAAGAGAACAAACCAGATTCCAGAGAAGGAAGAAATGAGGAAGGAATGCTGGAAGTGGATAGGACACACATTGAGGAAAGCACCGAACTGCGTCAAAAGGCAAGAAATCACACGGAATCCCAAAGGCTAAATGAGGAGAAGAGGAACACATTGCGTCGGGAAATGGAGATAGACATGAGGAAAATGAACAAGAATTGGATTGAACTAGAAAAGAAGACCAAGTAGAGAGTGGGGTGGAGAATGCTGGTCGGCGGCCTATGCTTCATTGGGAGTAGCATGCGTAGGTAAGTAAGTAATTAACTATAAAAGTATACGTTTAGTATTGATCGATAAATAGGTCCCAAAATTACCATTCATTATGCTTGTCGCAACGTAACAAGTATATGTAGTGTTTGATAATGAATAATAGAAAAAAGTTGCTAAGGACTGGGAATGGACCAATAGAAGAATTGAAGAGTCATGTGTGATTCATATGATTTGCTTGCGTGTGATATAGATGAAGAAGTACAATGATCCAGAAATATAGTACTGTTATCATCTAGTGTTTTGGAAGTGTTGGACATGAATCTGTTCAGCTAGAGTGGATCATGGTGGATGTTCCCTTACTAACTCATATATCTGAAACTACAGACTGCAGCTCATCTTCCTGCCAGGCATCATCTGCTTCAGACGATTCTGTTCCTGAAGGCTATTTAATCTTGACATTCGATAAAATGAAGAAGCTGTTTTAAAAATCGCTGTATTAGCAGATGTTTCAGATCCTAGATTTGCAGATGATTATGAAGTTGATGATGAAGAGGAATGTAATGATAATTGTTGGCCACTTCATGAGTCCAAGTTAGCTGTTCGCCAACAGGAAAATGATGGCGTACTTGAAAATGAAGTTACTGATGCCAAAGGTTTTTTTGTCGAAACCTCTTGTTATTTCCACGGATGCAGCTGGCAAAACTTCATATAATACTTCATGTTACGGCGAAGCTTTTTGGGTTGGTGAAGATGAGCTGAACGCAAAACAAAATACCACAAGTTCTTGGGATCTATCGCCTGCTAACAAAGCATCCCAAAGTTTAATACGTAGTAGTCCTTTGACGTGTGATACTCATTCAGTGACTCCGACTTCAACTTTACAGTCATCTACTGAAAGCTGGTCTTTGAGCACACCTCAGTCAACAATAACTGGACTAACCGGCACTTTCCCTTATCGCGAAGCTACATATCCAATTATTCATCTTGCCAGAAAATACAACCAGAACACTTTTTCTTCTCACTTCCAGCCTAAATGGCCTAGAGCATTTAATGTCCATTTAGGTGATCATTCCAAGAAGATGCTCAGGTGTGACTAATGTGGTAAATATTACCGTAATGATTATAGCCTACATCATCATATTTGCTTAAAGCGCAAAGATGTGTGGAAAAAAGGTGATGTGCCTTCTGAAATGATTGATGGTCAAGTTATGTATTTTTGTCCCAGTTGCCGTAAGCCTTTTAAATGGCTTGGTAACCCTACACGACATTTCTATGTGCATACAGGTCAAAGATTCTTTCGGTGTGATATTTGTTCTAAAGATTTTTTCTCTGCTTACCAAGTTAAAAGACATATGAATTCACATACAGGTGTCCGTTTCAAATGTGAAGTATGTGACAAACCTTTCACATGTAAATACGCCTGTGCTTGGCATACTAGACAACATTATGCTTATTCATTAAAATAATAAATTTTAAGAATTTCTCTCTGATTCTTCCAAATGAATTTTTAGCAACGAATATATACATACATACACTTTGCTTTTTTCCGTTTCAATGAGAGATATTCAAAAATACACTTTGCACAATGATTTATTTTTTTATAAATAAAATTTCAATATTAATTATTACTTTCGACATCCTATTTTTTATTGTTGAATTCATGAGTCAATTAAAGCTAGATAGTGAAAAACGTGGAAGCACTAGACGACTACTTTGTTCCATTGCAAGATTCCTTGGCAGTGCGCATCCACAATTCCGTTCGACGGGTTCGAACTGAGGATCAAACAGTCTCGCGCGTGAACACTTAACCTCTAGAGCACTAAGCCGGAAACCGACACATTCTGATAATAATCATCATGTGCTCACTAGTGACTGGCTTCTAGAGGTATTTCCCCAGAGTTCTAGTGAGAAGCCATGACCAGTGGAGTCTAACCAGGTCTGTTGTGAGATAGTAACTCAGTGAAAACAATGGTGGACTGTGACACAATTTCGTGAATTGGTTGAGGTTATATAGCAACACCTTTGGATGCCGACTCAGTAGTTTAGAGGTTAAGCGTCTTTCAGTGTAGAAAATGAGCGCGGACTATTCAACAAAAAAGAAGAAGAATCGAATGTTCTGATTTGATTGTTTTGTTTTTCTCTTTCTTTCGCGTTTATCAATTGAATCAAATAAATTTCAATGTATATTGTTGTCACATTTGATGTTTTATATCAATATTTTGGTGTGTGTGTGTGTGTTTTCTTTCATACATAATCCGCTTAGATTCAAATACTTCCTGTCGTCTTTTTCAAAGTTAACCAAAGGTATTATGTTTGTTTTACTCGTGTTTATTTCTACCATATTTCCGTATTGGGTGATAATCGTTTGCACCTACCTCTTATTTCTTCTACTTTTGTATCTTTGAAATTGTTCATTTCATGTATATGCAAATCTGTTGCTTCTAATGTTTTTCCATTTGTTTATCTTTATAGAGAGAATGTTCCATCTGGATCTGGGTTTGTTTTGATTATTATACAAGGTATTTATTCTACGAATTGATAGATAATACTTTGATTCTGTAAACTTGTGTTATGTTCTAAAAGATTGGATTTCATAGTTTAAAAAAACAAAACAAACAAAGCTCTTTAATTGTGACATTTTTCTATGTGGCTGTGCCTTCAGTCACGGATTCATGTAAAAAGTGAAACTATAACACTTTATGTGGTTAAAAGATTGTGCCTTTCAATTTCTTGATCACTGGTTTGAATCATCAACTCTACCTGAGCTCCCGAACAGTGTTGCTAGTTATTTCGGTTCAAGTGTGCATCGAAGCTGACTATGCCAATCTGTACTTGGTTAACGTGTCACAAATAATTAAATAGAAATGAACCATATCTGTATCAAGGCGCTTCAGTTAAAGTTTATGTTTACATTGATTTTTAGACATAGAAAATATAGGACCTAAAACAAATGAATATCGTTCTTCTTCCTGCACTGATTATTATAACTTATTTGTGAAGTGAGTGTTTATGTAGTTGATTGATGACATTAAAATGACAAATGAAGTCGATTGTAGTCTCGCAAAACTTCCAGTAAAATTAGTAGCCTTATGTGACTAGGTAGAGAAAGAGAAGTGTTCCGCTTGTGATAGGATTTCGTGCTATAGAATATAAATGTAAAGAACTGACATCTGTTATCCGGTCACTGCTCTCCGATGCAGGTCGATTTTACGTGTTATGATTCCTCAGCTACTGCAGATAAGAACATCTAAAAAATTAAACTTCCAATCACCTTAAACTTGGGTTTTACTCGTTGTTCGTGCATTTCGCTCCGCATAAGGGTTTATTTCAGTTGACCTCAGTATCATCTCCTGTATTTTTGTGGCAAGTTATTCAATGATGTCACTATCTATTTGCTAATAAGCACATATAGTTACAAATATCCAGCGTTTCCAACACGTCATAAAATCAGAACTCTTTGAGACAAAGTTAAAAATAATTCATTTCTCATGAATAATATTGTCGATTTGCGATTGATCATAATCTAGGTAAACAGGTGGGTTAAATTTCAAAAATTTAAAGAAAAAACCATTTGTAATCGTTTTCATCTCTCTATATTGTGTTCCATTCATCTGTTTACGTCAGATATTTCTGAAGAGACCATAAAATTTCAATTTCTTTATGTTTGGATCGCCTTAATAATTGCTTCATGCATGGCTTTTCAACTTTTTGGAGATGTGCCCGCTTTGTTGATGTTTACAAAGGATAGACGTTCTTCATGCAATAATAACGGTATATCAACTTTGAAGTTAGTTTGTTTGTTTATCCAACTATCATTATTTAAAGGGTTGTTTTTTAAACTGTGTGTGTGGTTCTGTATGTATATGTGGTGAACTGTATTAAACATACCAATTGCTGTCAAATAGAATCGAAAGAAGTGTACAACACTATGAGGTAACACGTCATGACCTTATTTGAATTCTGTATACTACTGTTTCCTGTATTTCTAGTTAATATAACATTTACTGGATAAAGATTATCGTTGTTACGATATTATTTTGTGATTATTGTGCCTATTCAGTCCATATGATAGTCGATTTGATATGTACTGCTTGGGACTAACCCTACTTATTCACCTTCGATCTTAAGTTTGAGAATAACTTCTATCACAGAGTGAGTAAAGCTAAGGAAATACCGAGAAATAGGGAGCACTGGACGATTCTTATTTTTGTTAGGGTCCACTAGGTAGTAACTGTCTGAAGATCTTCGGGTACCAACATGAATTGAAATCCAGTGGTCTGAATTCTCCATCCTCACCCAATTCGTAATACACTGTTTATCATGGGATATCGTCGATACAAGAGACCAAAATGTCTGTGTCCGGATAACAGATATATGTCATGACATGCTTCATCTGAAATTGGTTTTGCAATACTGACTACGGGAAACTGAAAGATGAATAAAGAAACCGGACAAAATTGACAGTTATAAACGATGCAGGATTATCTTATTAATGGGGTGATTGTCCAATTCTCTACCCTGCGTTCGAAACATATTTGTAAAATGATAATCAACACGTCATAAACCAGACGTTGTGTCACTAAACCCATGAGGGTGACTTTCATTAGCCGTCTCTAAAACTTGGTACTTCAAACGTTACAATGCTCTCCGATCACTCGAGTTTGCTGTCCTTACGTAGAATTGGTAAACGTTTTCGTCTTTTGTTCGGTCGATAATTCACTGCCCTCTAATCAGCAGTCACAAGTTATAACAGCCCTAAATAACTCACTCATTCTCAAATAATATATGGCAGTCATTAAGATAGATAATTGGAGAATATTATTCAATAAATTTAGTGTTGAAAGACTTAAATTATTTGATAGAAATCAGCATCATCCTAAGTCAATGATCAAGATGAAATGTAATATAATTTGATTGAAATAAAACTGGCTATCATGTGTACTTGAAGTGTTAAATATAAATAATGAGGTTATGTATATAAATTGTATAATCGAATGCAACAATTGATAGATTCAATTTATGACGATAGGATAAAATTGCTGATTCTTCCAGTTTCAGTTTGGAAAGAATAGTTGGTGTGATGACCTGTGTTGGTCCTGGCGCTGATAATATCTCAGTTGATCTAACTTTCTTTTGAATGAGTCGATAGATGGAGCTCCCATTAAGTGTTGAGGTAATGAATTCCACTGATTGATGTTTCGAAAGGGAATGTCGACAGTCAGCTGACAAATAATTTATTCTAGGCTTGTGAACATTTTGGAGTGTCTTCGTAAATTCTCTGCTTTTGGAAGACAAAAAAATGAGGGCATGTCAAGTGCAAACTAACCACTAAGCAATTTGAAATCTGTAATCAAGTCACCTCTAGTTCTTCGACATGAAAAGGGGAATATGTTTAGTTTAGCCAGTCTAGCATCATACGGGAGTTTCACTGTTCCGGAAATCAGCATAATCGTTGTTCTCTGAACCTTTTCCAAAATCTTACCGTCTTTTTTTTAAGCAGAAGCTAGTCTTTTGTATGCAGTACTGAAGTTTATGTCTCACGAATACCGTTTACAAAGTAAAGAAGTTTTAGCGTTGACATGACTAAAATGCCTACGTATTGCCTATAGGGTCCTAAAACTTTACGGCTTTTGCATGGCAGCGTGCAGTAGTTTTTATTTTCGGTCAACGATGACACGCAAGTCATTGTGTGTCTGCATATATATAGACTTTGATGTTTTCAGTTAGAGTTGTTGCGTAATACTTCAGTGTGTATCTATTAGTCTTTCAGTAGAACAGGTTTATTTATTTAAACGAATGTGAATTATACTATTGAATGATGATTGAGTAGTGATCAATATTATGCTTGTATAATTCTTTACAGATCATCGAATCTTATCGATATGACCACTAGTGTAAGTAGTTGAGTTGTTAGTTTGTTGGACTTAGTAAATAGAAACCAATTCTTGATGCAAATTTCATGCTGGCTAGCACTCTGCATGAAAGCATACTCGTAATCTCTAGGGGTACTAATGCTCTCAGTAACATTTAGCTTCAAATTTTCAGAATTTACAATCGGGATATTCAGGTCACGAGTGATCTTCTGTGAAACTAAGGTATTTGAAACTGATTAACTTCCAACATGCTGCTTATCTATTCCTTCAATTATTGATGACGAACGATAAAAATTTAAAACACTTTGTTGCCACTCATTGATTTATACATCTAACTTCAGTGAACATTTCGTTTCAGGATGCACATTTCACATTGACATCCATGAATTGTTAGATTCTTTACGATGCATCATCTTCAGATTAGGTAGGTAATTCTTCAATAAACAGAACTGATCTCGTGTTTAACAAAAGTGTCGTTGACAAACTCACATTCTTCGGAAAGCATATATTTTTTCTAATCAACGTATCCGGATAAACGAGAACAAGTGAGCTGATCGATTCACCTTGAGAGAAATCAAAGTATCAATTTATAC